TATGGTACATGTGCACAACGTGCAGGTTTGTTACATATGTATACATGTGCCATGTTGGTGTGCTGTACCCATTTACTCGTCATTTACATAAGGTATATCTATCTCCTAATGTTATCCCTCCCCCTCACCACACCCCATGACAGGCCCCAGTATGCGATGTTACCAGCCCTGTGTCCAAGTGTTCTCATTGTTCAGTTCCCACCTATGAGTGAGAACATGTGGTGGTTGGTTTTCTGTTCTTGTGATAGCTTGCTGAGAATGATGGTTTCCAGCTGCATCCATGGCCCTACAAAGGACATGAACTCATCCTTTTTTATGGCTGCATAGTATTCCATGGTGTATATGTGCCACATTTTCTTAATCCAGTCTGTCACTGATGGACATTTGGGTTGGTTCCAAGTCCTTGCTATTGTGAATAGTGCTGAAGTAAACATACGTGTGCATGTGTCTTTGTAGTAGCGTGATCTATAAGGCTTTGGGTATATGCCCAGTAATGGGATCGCTGGGTCAAACTGTTCTAGGTCCTTGAGAAATCGCCACACTATCTTCCACAATGGTTGAACTAGTTTACAGTCCCACCAACAGTGTAAAAGTGTTCCTATTTCTCCACATCCTCTCCAGCACTTGTTGTTTCCTGACTTTTCAATGATTGCCATTCTAACTGGTGTGAGATGGTATCTCATTGTGGTTTTGATTTGCACTTCTCTGATGGCCAGTGATGATGAGAATTTTTCATGTGTCTGTTGGCTGCATAAATGTCTTCTTTTGAGAAGTGCCTGTTCATATCCTTTGCCCACCTTTTGATGGGGTTGTTTTTTTCTTGTAAATTTGTTTGAGTTCTTTGCAGGTTCTGGATAATAGCCCTTTGTCAGATGAGTAGATTGCAAAAAGTTTCTCCCATTCTGTAGGTTGCCTGTTCACACTGATGGTAGTTTCTTTTGCTGTGCAGAAGCTCTTTAGTTTAATTAGATCTCATTAGGCAATTTTGGTTTTGTTGCCATTGCTTTTGATGTTTTCGACATGAAGTCCTTGCCCATGCCTATGTCCTGAATGGTATTACCTAGGTTTTCTTCTAGGGGTTTTATAGTTTTAGGTCTAACATTTAAGTCTTTAATCCATCTTGAATTAATTTTTGTATAAGGTGTAAGGAAGGGATCTAATTTCAGCTTTCTGCATATGGCTAGCCCATTTTCCCAGGACCATTTATTAAATAGGGAATCCTTTCCCCATTTCTTGTTTTTCTCAGGTTTGTGAAAGATCAGATGGCTGTAGATGTGTGGCATTATTTCTGAGGGATCTGTTCTGTTCCATTGTTCTATATCTCTGTTGTGGTACCAGTACCATGCTGTTTTGGTTACTGTAGTCTTGTAGTATAGTTTGAGGTCAGGTAGCGTGATGCCTCCAGCTTTGTTCTTTTGCCTTAGCATTGTTTTGGCAATGTGGGCTCTTTTTTGGTTCCATATGAACTTTAGTTTTTTCCAATTCTGTGAAGAAATTCATTTGTAGCTTGATGGGGATGGCATTGGATCTATAAATTACCTTGGGCAGTATGACCATTTTCATTATATTGATTCTTCCTATCCATGAGCATGGAATGTTCTTCCATTTGTTTGTGTCCTCTTTTATTTCGTTGAGCAGCGGTTTGTAGTTCTTCTTGAAGAGGTCCTTCACATCCCTTGTAAGTTGTATTTCTAGGTATTTTATTCTATTTGAAGCAATTGTGAATGGGATTTCACTCATGATTTGGCTCTCTGTCAGTTATTGGTGTGTAAGAATGCTTGTGATTTTTGCACCTTGATTTTGTATCCTGGGACTTTGCTGAAGTTGCTTATCAACTTAAGATTTTGGGCTGAGACGATGGGGTTTTCTAAATATACAATCATGTCATTTGCAAACAGGGACAATTTGATTTCCTCTTTTCCTAATTGAATACCCTTTATTTCTTTCTCCTGCCTGATTGCCCTGGCAAGAACTTCCAACACTATGTTGAATAGGAGTGGCAAGAGAGGGTATCCCTGTCTTGTGCCAGTTTTCAAAGGGAATGCTTCTAGTTTTTGCCCATTCAGTATGATATTGGCTGTGGGTTTGTCATAAATAGCTCTTATTATCTTGAGATACACCCCATCAATACCGAATTTATGAAGAGTTTTTAGCATGAAGGGCTGTTGAATTTTGTCCAAGGCCTTTTCTGCATCTATTGAGATAATCATGTGGTTTTTGTCTTTGGTTCTGTTTATATGCTGGATTACATTTATTGATTTGCATATGTTGAACCAGCCCTGCATTCCAGGGATAAAGCCCGCTTGATCATGGTGGATAAGGTTTTTGATGTGCTGCTGCATTAGGTTTGCCAGTATTTTATTGAGGATTTTTGCATTGATGTTCATCAGGGATATTGGTCTAAAATTCTCTTTTTTTGTTGTGTCTCTGCCAGGCTTTGGTAACAAGATGATGTTGGCCTCATAAAATGAGTTAGGGAGGATTCCTTCTTTTTCTATTGATTGGAATAGTTTCAGAAGAAATAGTAACAGCTCTTCCTTGTACCTCTGGTAGAATTTGGCTGTGAATCCATCTGGTCCTGGACTTTTTTGGTTGGTAGGCTATTAATTATTGCCTCAACTTCAGAGTCTGTTATTGGTCTATTCAGGAATTCAGCTTCTTCCTGGTTTAGTCTTGGGAGTTTGTATGTGTCCAGGAATTTATCCATTTCTTCTAGGTTTTCTAGTTTATTTGCGTAGAAGTGTTTATAGTATTCTCTGATGGTAGTTTGTATATCTGTGGGATTGGTGGTGATATCTCTTTTATCATTTTTTATTGTGTCTATTTTATTCTTCTCTTTTCTTCTGTATTAGTCTTGCTAGCAGTCTATCAATTTTGTTTGTCTTTTCAAAAAGCCAGCTCCTGGATTCATTGATATTTTGAAGGTTTTTTTGTGTCTCTATCTCCTGCAGTTTTGTTCTGATCTTAGTTATTTCTTACCTTCTGCTAGCTTTTGAATGTGTTTGCTCTTGCTTCTCTGGTTCTTTTAATTGTGATGTTAGGGTGTCAATTTTAAATCTTTCCTGCTTTCTCTTGTGGGCATTTAATACTACAAATTTCCCTCTACACACTGCTTTACATGTGTCCCAGAGATTCTGGTATGTTGTATCTTTCTTCTCATTGTTTTCCAATAACATCTTTATTTGTGCCTTCGTTTCATTATGTACCCAGTAGTCATTCAGGAACAGGTTGTTCAGTTTCCATGTAGTTGAGTGGCTTTGAGTGAGTTTCTTAATCCTGAGTTCTAGTTTGATTGCACTGTGGTCTGAGAGACAGTTTGTTATAATTTCTGTTCTTTTACATTTGCTGAGGAGTGCTTTATTTCCAACTATGTGGTCAATTTTGGAATAAGTGTGATGTGGTGCTAAGAAGAATGAATATTCTATTGATTTGGGGTGGAGAGTTCTGTAGATGTCTACTAGGTCCACTTGGTGCAGAGCTGAGTTCAATTCCTAGATATTCTTGTTAACTTTCTGTCTCATTGATCTGTGTAATGTTGACAGTGGGGTGTTAAAGTCTTCCATTATTATTGTGTGGTAGTCTAATTCTCTTTGTAAGTCTCTAAGGAGTTGCTTTATGAATCTGGGTGCTCCTGTATTGGGTGCATATATGTTTAGGATAGTTAGCTCTTCTTGTTGAATTGATTCCTTTACCATTATGTAATGGCCTTCTTTGCCTCTTTTGATCTTTGTTGGTTTAAAGTCTGTTTTATCAGAGACTAGGATTGGAACCCCTGCCTGTTTTTGTTTTCCATTTTCTTGATAGCTCTTCCTCCATCCCTTTATTTTGAGTATATGTGTGTCTCTGCACATGAGATGGGTGTCCTGAATATAGCACAGTGATGGGTCTTGACTCTTTATCCAATTTGCCAGTCTGTGTCTTTTAATTGGAGCATTTAGACTTTCAAATTCGTGATAACCTGTTCCATTAACCTAGGCAGTTGTCAGCTAAATAGTCCTAAATTAGCATATTAAAAGAAGCAACTCTTAGGTTATAAATCAGATAGCAAAATTTATCTCAAAGTACAGGGAGAAAGTCTGGTGTGCCAGAGGAAAATTAAAATGGATTTAATTGTTAATTACATTAAAATTATATAATTTATCATAGGATTGTATAAGGAGACCAATTTTATTTAGATATGTAGTTTTAATTTTAGTCTCCATCTTTTAACTAGACCTCCACTCTGGGCAGTCCATACTGTATCTGGGCCTCCAAAAAAATTATTGTGAGGCTAGACCATGCTTTTACAGTACACTTTTTTTTTTGAAGACATTTCTTTAAATTTCTAAAGTGCACTCTCTCTTATTTTAAAGATCCAATAGTAACTTCTGTTTTCGTATCTATTGTAGTTGGAAAAACAAATCAGGCAACACAACACAATACAAGTAAGCAGTTTAAGATCTGAGAGGAAACTTGTCTCTTTACTTTTGGGGTTCCATAAGGAAATAGAAGTTTCTCCTCAAAAAGCAGTTTGGTGCCTTCTCTGTCTTCTTCAAGGAACCCCAAGCTGTTAAATACTAAGAAAAGCTTATATCAAGAGGAACAAATCATAGGAGAGAAAACAAAAAACAAAAACATAAAGTCTTTTTAAAGAGACACACACACACACACACACACACACACACACACACACCCTATAGCTTTTACTTCAGGACTCTAGCCATGAGATATTAATACAAATTTATTGGCCTGCTAAAGAAAAAAAAAAAAAAAACCCAATGGTTGTATCCAAACAGTGGTTTTCATCTCAGTAGAAAAGTAACAGCAGATTTAAAGTAGGCAGAAAAGAAAATAGAGAAAAAGAGAATTTAAGAACTCTATAGTTTGCAGGTTGACCTTAGGGCTCTTTTTCCTTGATGTAAATGTGCACAAAGACCATAACATTTCCATTTTACACAAACCCTGTGAAATAAGGGTGCCACAAAACCAACAGAGTGCTTGAAAGGGGGTCATTCTCCTTGTTTTTTTTTTGTTTGTTTGTTTGTTTTTTTGTTATTCTTCTTAAAAGGAGGAACTGAGCTATGGCTTAGGGTTTTGGTGGAATGGGTCGAAGTGTGTGCTCATTACAGATGGGACTTCACAGCATCACCAGTGAGTCATTGCTGTCTTCTTGCATGTCTCAGTTTCTCTTTCCAGGGGTCTAGCAGCTCCAGGAGAACCCAAAGCGGGAAGTGACCAGTTCCCATATGTGCTTCCCAGATGAGACTTTTTTAAACTAATTTTGTTGACGATTCTCTGTAGGGCCGCTGCACCTCACAGGGGTCAACCCCACAGACAATCCCACGAGACTTTTGGTCACCGAGAGTCACCTTTCAGCTGGAAGGAGCAAAATGGCCTTTCTCTTTGGAGCTGAGAAAACTCAGTCTCTCATTTATCTATGAAAACAATGGTTCAGTTCCTCATGCAAATGCACACAGACAAGCCAAGTAGAGATTAATTTTGGAGAAAAAGCAATGGAGAAGATCCTTTAGAATACACCTCTGAACTAAAAGTAGGATCCTTAAACAACAACTTCCTAGGAGAGAAAAAAATAAAAACAGCTCAGAGTAAATCAAGGACCATCAACCAAAGAGAGGTCAGGGACTCAGGAGTACTTACCAGTTCCACTGGATGAGAAGCTCAAAGTCGGGGAGGCTTCCAATGGGCCTCTGCTGGTAACTTAGCTCCGACTTTGGGTAACTCCTTCAGGGTCCCAAGCCTTCTCTCAGTCCCCATGTGTTTGGGTGCCAAATGATTGTTGACCAAAAGAGTAAAACTCTGTAAAATATTTGAAGCTATTTATTCTGAGCCAAGTATGAGTGACCATGGCCCATGACACAGTCCTCAGGAGATCCTGAGAATATGTGCCCCTCTTTGTTGGTTTTCTATCTGGATGATCTGTCCATTAGTGAGAGTTGGGTGTTAAGTCCTCTAGTGTTATTGTATTGCTGTGTATATCTCCCTTTAAATGCATTAATATTTGCTTTATATACTTGAGAGCTCTGCTGTTTGCTACATAGATATTTATATTTGGTATATACTCTTGCTGAATTGACCTTTTTATCTTTACATAGTAATCTTATTTGACTCTTTTTATAGTCTTTGATATATAGTCTATTTTATCGGACATAAGTATAGATACTTTTGCTCATTTGGTTTACAGTTACATGAAATACCTTTTTCCACAACTTCACTTTCAGTCTTTGTGTGCCTTTATAGGTGAAGTGAGTTTCTAGTAGGTAACATATAGTTGGGTTTTGTTTTTGTTTTTTTTATCCATTCAGCCACTGTCACCTTTTTGTTTGAATCCACTTACACACAATTTTATTATTGAACTTATTTAATCCTTGTAAAAAGTTAAAAACTTTTTACAGGGATTGCTGGCAAGACAGCCAAATAGGAACAGCTCTGCAGCTCCCAGTGAGACTGACGCAGAAGGTGGGTGATTTCTGCATTTCCAACTGAGGTACCCGGTTCATCTCACTGGGACTGGCTGGACAGTGGTGGGTGCAGCCCACGGAAGGCAAGTCGAAGCAGCAATGCCCCACCCAGGAAGTACAAGGGATTGGGGAATTTTCTTCCCTACCCAACGGAAGCCATGAGGGACTGAGCCTGAGGTACCATGCACACTCCAGCACAGATACTGCGCTTGTTCCACAGTCTTCACAACCTGCAAACCAGGAGATTCCCTCAGGTGCCTACACCACCAGGGCCTTGGGTTTCAAGCATAAAACTGGGCGGTCATTTGGGCAGACACCAAACTAGCTGCAGGAGTTCTTTTTTTCCATACTCCAGTGGTGCCTGGAATGCCAGCAAGGCAGAACAATTCACTCCCCTGGAAAGAGGTGCTGAAGCCAGGGAGTCAAGTGGTCTGGGTCAGCGGGTCCCACCCCCCCATAGAGCCCAGTAAGCTAAGATCCACTGGCTTGAAATTCTCACTGCCAGCACAGCAGTCTGAGATGGACTGCAGATGTTCCAGCATGGTTGGGGGGTGGGGCGTCCGCCATTGCTGAGGCTCCAGAAGGTAGTTTTACACTCACATTGTAAACAAGGCCTCTGGGAAGTTCAAACTGGGTGGGGCCCACTGTAGCTCAGCAAAGGTGCTGTGGCCAGACTGCCAGATTTCTCTTCTCTGGGTAGGACATCTCTGAAAGAAAGGCAGCAGCCCCAGTCAGGAACTTATAGATAAAACCCCCATCTCCCTGGGACAGAGCGCCTGGGGAAGGGGGTGGCTGTGGGAGCAGCTTCAGCAAACTTAAACGTCCCTGCCTGACAGCTCTGAAGAGAGAAGCAAACTTCCCAGCCCGCTGTTTGAGCTCTGCTAAGTGTCAGACTGCCTCAAGTGGGTCCCTGACCCCTGTGTATCCTGACAGGGAGACACCTCCCAGTAGGGGCCAACAGATACCTCATACTCTCCAGGTGCCCCTCTGGGATGAAGCTTCCAGAAGAAGGACCAGGCAGCAATCTTTGCTGTTTTGCAGCCTCTGCTGGTGATACCCAGGCAAACAGGGTCAGGAGTGGACCTCCAGCAAACTCCAGCAGACCAGCAGCAGAGGAGCCCGACTGTTAGAAGGAAAATTAACAAACAGAAAGGAATAGCACGTCCACTCAAACACCCCATCCGAAGGTCACCAACATCAAAGACCAAATGTAGATAAGTCCACAAAGATGGGGAGAAACCAGTGCAAAAAGACTGAAAATTCCAAAAACCAGAACACTTCTTTTCCTCCAAAGGAGCACGACTCCTCACCAGCAAGGGAACGAAAATGGATGGAAGAATAAGTTTGAAGAATTGACAGGAATAGGCTTCAGAAGGTGGGTGGTAATAAACTCCGCTGAGCTAAAAGAGCATGTTCTAACCCAGTGCAAGGAAGCTAAGAACCTTGAAAAAAGGTTAGAAGAACTGCTAACTAGAATAACCAGTGTAGAGAAGAACATAAATGACCTGATGGGGCTGAAAAACGCAGCACACAGCATGAGAACTTTGTGAAGCATACACAAGTTTCAATAGCCAAATCGATCAAGCAGAAGAAAGGATATCTGTGATTGAAGATCAACTTAATGAAATAAAGAGAGAAGACAAGATTAGAGAAAAAGAATAAAAAGGAATGAACAAAGCCTCCAAGAAATATGGGACTATGTGCAAAGACCAAATTTACGTTTGATTGGTGTACCTGAAAGTGATGAGGAAAATGGAACCAAGTTGAAAAACACTCTTCAAGATATTATCCAGAAGAGCTTCTCCAACCTGGCAAGATAGGCCAACATTCAAATTCAGAAATACAGAAAACATCACAAAGATACTCCTCAAGAACAACAACCCCAAGACACATAATCATCAGATTCACCATGACTGAAATGAAGGAAAAAATGTTAAGGGCAGCCAGAGAGAAAGATCAGGTTACCCACAAAGGGAAGCCCATCAGACTAACAGCGTATCTCTCTGAAGAAACCCTACAAGCCAGAAGAGAGTGGGGGCTGATATTCAACATTCTTAAAGAAAAGGGTTTTCAACCCAGAATTTCATACCCAGCCAAAATAAGTTTCATAAGCAAAGGAGAAACAAAATCCTTTACAGACAGGCAAATGCTGAGAGATTTTCTCACCACCAGGCCTGCCTTACAAGAGACCCTGAAGGAAGCACTAAATATGGAAAGGAACAACTGGTTCCAACCACTGCAAAAACATACCAAATTGTAAAGAACATGAACACTACGAAGAAACTGCATTAACAAACAGGCAAAACAACCAGGTAGCATCATAATGATAAGATCAAATTCACACATAACAATATTAACCTTAAATGTTAATGGGCTAAATGCCCCAATTAAAAGACACAGACTGGCAAACTGGATAGAGTCAAGACCCATCAGTGTGCTGTATTCAGGAGACCCATCACACGTGCAGACACACATAGGCTCAAAATAAAGGGATGGAGGAATATTTGCCAAGAAATAGAGAGCAAAAAAAAAAAAAAAAAAAAAAAAAAAAGGCTGGAGTTGAAATCCTATTCTCTGATAAAACAGACTTTCAACCAACAAAGATCAAAAGAGACAAGAGCATTACATAACGGTAAAGGGATCAATGCAGCCAGAAGAGCTAACTATCCTAAACATATATGCACCCAATACAGCAGCACCCAGAATCATAAAGCAAGTTCTTAGAGACCTACAAAGGGACTTAGACTCCTACACAATAATAGCGGGAGGCTTTAACACCCCACTGTCAATATTAGACAGATCAACGAGACAGAAAATTAACAAGGATATTCAGGATTTGAACTCAGCTGCGGACCAAGTGGACCTAATAGATATCTACAGAACTCTCCACCCCAAATCAGCAGAATATACATTCTTCTCAGCACCTCATCACACTCATTCTAAAATTGACCACATAATTGGAAGTAAAACGCTCCTCTGCAAATGCAAAAGAACGGAAATCATAACAACATTCTCTCTGACCACAGTGCACTCAAATTAGAACTCGGGATTAAGAAACTCACTCAAAACCACACAACTACATGGCAACTGAACAACCTGATCCTGAATGACTACTGGGTAAATAATGAAATGAAGCCTGAAATAAAGATGTTCTTTGAAACCAATGAGCACAAAGAAACAATGTACCAGACTCTCTGGGACATATTTAAAGCAGTGTGTAGAGGGAAATTTATAGCACTAACTGCCCTAAAGAGCAAGCAGGAAAGATCCAAAACTGACACCCTAACATCTAAATTGAAAGAACTAGAGAAGCAAGAGCAAACAAATTCAAAATCTACCAGAAGACAAGAAATAACTAAGATCAGAGCAGAACTGAAGGAGATAAGAGACATGAAAAACTCTTCAAAAAATTCAATGAATCCAGGAACTGGTTTTTTTTAAAAGATCAACAAAATAGATACACTGATAGTCAGACTAATAAACAAGAAAAGAGAGAAGAATTGGCCAGGCACTATGGCTCATGCCTGTAATCCCAGCACTTTGGGAGGCCAAGGCAGGTGGATCATGAGGTCAAGCAATGAAGACCATTGTGACCAACATGGTGAACCCTATCTCTACTAAAAATACAAAAATTAGCTGAGGACCATGGCGTGCGCCTGTAGTTCCAGCAATTGAGAGGCTGAGGCAGGACAATCGCTTCAACCAAGGAGGCAGATGTTGCAGTGAGCTGAGATCATGCCACTGCACTCCAGCCTGGCGACAGAGTGAGACTCCATCTCAAAAAAAAAAAAAAAAAAAAAAAAAAACAGAAGAAGAAGAAGAAGAAGAAAGAAAAAGAAAAAAAAAAGAAAAGACAGAAAATCAAATAATCAAATAGACACAAAAGTGATATATGGGATATCACCACTGATCCCACAGAAATACAAACTACCATCAGAGAATACTATAAACACCTCTATGCAAATAAACTATAAAATCTAGAAGAAATGGATAAATTCCTGGACACATACATCCTCCCAAGTCTAAACTAGGAAGAAGTCAAATCCCTGACTAGACCAATAACAAGTTCTGAAATTGAGGCAGTAATTAATAGCATACTAACCAAAAAAGTGCAGGACCAGACGGATTCACAGCCGAATTCTACCAGAGGTACAAAGAGGAGCTGGTACCATTCCTTCTGAAAGTATTCCAATCAATAGAAAAAGAGGGAATCCTCCCTAACTCTTTTTATGAGGCCAACATCATCCTGATACCAAAACCTGGCAGAGACACAATAAAAAAAGAAAATTTCAGGCTAATATCCCTGATGAACATTGATGCAAAAATCCTCAAAAAATACTGGCAAACTGAATCCAGCACCATATCAAAAAGCTTATCCACCATGATCAAGTTGGTTTCATCCCTGGCATGCCAGGCTGGTTCAACATATACAAATCAATGTAATCCATCATATAAATAGGACCAAAGACAAAAACCACATGATTATCTCAATAGAGGCAGAAAAGGTCTTCGACAAATTTCAACAGCACTTCAAGCTAAAAACTCTCAATAAACTAGGTATTGATGGAACATATCTCAAAATAATAAGAGCTATTTATGACAAACCCACATCCAATATCATACTGAATGGGCAAAAACTGGAAGCATTCCCTTTGAAAACCAGCACAAGACAAGGAGGCTCTCTCTTGCCACTCCTATTCAACATAGTGTTGGAAGTTCTGGCCAGGGCAGTCAAGCAAGAGAAAGAAATAAGGTCATTCAAATAGGAAGAGAGGAAGTCAAATTGTGTCTGTTTGCAAATAGCATGATTGTATATTTAGAAAACCCCATCTTCTCAGCCTAAGATCTCCTTAAGCTGATAAGCAACTTCAGCAGTCTCAGGATACAAAAGCAATGTGCAAAAATCACAAGCATTCCTATATACCAATAATAGACAGAGAGCCAAATCATGAGTGAACTTCCATTTGCAATTGCTACTAAGAATATAAAATACCCAGGAATACAACTTACAAGGGATATGAAGGAGCTCTTCAAGGAGGACTGTTGGGAGCAAGTTCCCCAAAATCTGGCCATAAACTGGCTGCAAAACTGGCCATAAACAAAATCTCTGCAGCACTGTGAAATGTCCATAATGGCACTAACGCCCAAGCTGGAAGGTTGTGGGTTTATGGGAATGAGGGCAAGGAACACCTGGCCCTCCCAGGGTGGAAAACCGGTTAAAGGTATTCTTAAGCCACAAACAAGAGCATGAGCGATCTGTGTCTTAAGGGCGTGTGCCTGCTGCAGTTAACTAGCCCAACCTATTCATTTAATTTGGCCCATCCCTTCACTTTCCATAAGGGATACTTTTAGCTAATTTAGTATCTAGAGAAACAATGCTAATGACTGGTTTGCTGTTAATAAATATGTGGGCAAATCTCTGTTTGGGGCTCTCAGCTCTGACGGCTGTGAGACCCCTGATTTCCCACTTCGCATCTCTATATTTCTGTGTGTGTGTCTTTAATTACTCTAGCACCACTGGGTTAGGGTCTCCCCAACCAAGCTGGTCTCAACAGAGAACTACAAGCCACTGCTCAGGGAAATAAGAGAGGACACAAACAAATGGAAAAACATTCCATGCTCCTGGATAGGAAGAATCGATCTCATGAAAATGGCCATACTGCCCAAAGTAATTTATAGATTCATTGCTATCCCCACCAAGCTACCACTAACTTTCTTCATAGAATTAGGAAAAAAAAACTACTATAAACTTCATATGGAAAAAAAAAAAAGGGGCCTGCATAGCCAAGACAATCCTGGGCAAGAAGAACAAAGCTGGAGGCATCGTGCTACCTGACTTCAAACTACACTACAAGGTTACAGTAACCCAAACAGCATGGTACTGGTACCAAAACAGATATATAGACCAATGAAACAGAACAGAGGCCTCAGAAATAACACCACATATCTACAACCATCTGATCTTTGACAAACCTGACACAAACAAGCAACGGGGAAAAGATTCCCTATTTAATAAATGGTGTGGGA